ATGCTCAACCCCATAGCTTTTTCTCTCACGTTTTTATCACTAATATTTATGGGTCTGTTTTTCACTTTCATCCATTTCCACAAGTTCCATTTATCTCTGTTCAAATCCATCATCAATTTATCACTATTCATTCAATATATTTTATTCGTCTTGCTGGATTTTAGTCATTTTTATTTCCCGTATTGATTAAGATTTTTTTTTATGCATCTGTAGTTGCTTGTCCCTTCTGGTGAGTCAGTTTTATGTGCCGATTCCACAGCCCTGTGTCACACACTAACAGTATTGTGTCACACACTTACCACTTGTCAGTGTATCAGTAGTGTCACACACTAACCACTTGTCAGTGTATCAGTAGTGTCACACACTAACCACTTGTCAGTGTATCAGTAGTGTCACACACTAACCACTTGTCAGTGTATCAGTAGTGTCACACACTAACCACCTGTCAGTGTATCAGTATTATGTCACACACTAACAGTATTGTGTCACACACTAACCACTTGTCAGTGTATCAGTATTGTGTCACTAACCACTTGTCAGTATATCAGTATTGTGTCACAAACTAACCACTTGTCAGTATATCAGTATTGTGTCACAAACTAACCACTTGTCAGTATATCAGTATTGTGTCACACACTAACCACTTGTCAGTATATCAGTAGTGTCACACACAACACTTGTCAGTGTATCAGTATGTGTCACACACTAACCACTTGTCAGTGTATTCAGTATTGTGTCACACACAACCACTTGTCAGTGTATCAGTAGTGTCACACACTAACCACTTGTCAGTGTATCAGTAGTGTCACACACTAACCACCTGTCAGTGTATCAGTAGTGTCACACACTAACCACTTGTCAGTGTATCAGTAGTGTCACACACTAACCACTTGTCAGTGTATCAGTATTGTGTCACACACTAACCACTTGTCAGTTATCAGTAGTGTCACAACTAACCACTTGTCAGTGTATCAGTATTGTGTCACACACTAACCACTTGTCAGTATATCAGTATTGTGTCACAAACTAACCACTTGTCAGTATATCAGTATTGTGTCACAAACTAACCACTTGTCAGTATATCAGTATTGTGTCACACACTAACCACTTGTCAGTATATCAGTATTGTGTCACACACTAACCACTTGTCAGTGTATCAGTATTGTGTCACACACTAACCACTTGTCAGTATATCAGTATGTGTCACACACTAACCACTTGTCAGTAAAACATATCAGTATTGTGTCACACACTAACCACTTGTCAGTGTATCAGTATTGTGTCACTAACCACTTGTCAGTATATCAGTATTGTGTCACACACTAACCACTTGTCAGTATATCAGTATTGTGTCACACACTAACCACTTGTCAGTATATCAGTATTGTGTCACACACTAACCACTTGTCAGTGTATCAGTATTGTGTCACACACTAACCACTTGTCAGTATATCAGTATTGTGTCACACACTAACCACTTGTCAGTGTATCAGTATTGTGTCACACACTAACCACCTGTCAGTGTATCAGTATTGTGTCACACACTAACCACCTGTCAGTGTATCAGTAGTGTCACACACTAACCAACTGTCAGTGTATCAGTATTGTGTCACACACTAACCACCTGTCAGTGTATCAGTAGTGTCACACACTAACCACCTGTCAGTGTATCAGTAGTGTCACACACTAACCACCTGTCAGTGTATCAGTAGTGTCACACACTAACCAACTGTCAGTGTAATCCCAAGAGTTATTGTGTCACACACTAACCACCTGTCAGTGTATCAGTAGTGTCACACACTAACCAACTGTCAGTGTATCAGTATTGTGTCACACACTAACCACCTGTCAGTGTATCAGTATTGTGTCACACACTAACCACCTGTCAGTGTATCAGTATTGTGTCACACACTAACCACTTGTCAGTGTATCAGTATTGTGTCACACACTAACCACTTGTCAGTGTATCAGTAGTGTCACACACTAACCACTTGTCAGTGTATCAGTAGTGTCACACACTAACCACCTGTCAGTGTATCAGTATTGTGTCACACACTAACCACCTGTCAGTGTATCAGTATTGTGTCACACACTAACCACTTGTCAGTGTATCAGTATTGTGTCACACACTAACCACTTGTCAGTATATCAGTATTGTGTCACACACTAACCACTTGTCAGTATATCAGTATTGTGTCACACACTAACCACTTGTCAGTATATCAGTATTGTGTCACACACTAACCACTTGTCAGTGTATCAGTAGTGTCACACACTAACCACTTGTCAGTGTATCAGTAGTGTCACACACTAACCACCTGTCAGTGTATCAGTAGTGTCACACACTAACCACTTATCAGTGTATCAGTAGTGTCACACTAACCACTTGTCAGTGTATCAGTAGTGTCACACTAACCACTTGTCAGTGTATCAGTATTGTGTCACACACTAACCACTTGTCAGTGTATCAGTAGTGTCACACACTAACCACTTGTCAGTGTATCAGTAGTGTCACACACTAACCACTTTCAGTGTATCAGTAGTGTCACACACTAACCACTTGTCAGTGTATCAGTAGTGTCACACACTAACCACTTGTCAGTGTATCAGTAGTGTCACACACTAACCACTTATCAGTGTATCAGTAGTGTCACACACTAACCACTTGTCAGTGTATCAGTAGTGTCACACACTAACCACTTATCAGTGTATCAGTAGTGTCACACACTAACCACTTTCAGTGTATCAGTAGTGTCACACACTAACCACTTATCAGTGTATCAGTAGTGTCACACACTAACCACTTGTCAGTGTATCAGTATTGTGTCACACACTAACCACTTATCAGTGTATCAGTAGTGTCACACACTAACCACGTGTCAGTATACCAGTGTTGTGTCACACAGTAACCACTTGTCAGTATATCAGTATTGTGTCACACACTAACCACTTGTCAGTGTATCAGTATTGTGTCACACACTAACCACTTGTCAGTGTATCAGTATTGTGTCACACACTAACCACTTGTCAGTGTATCAGTGTGTCACACACTAACCACTTGTCAGTGTATCAGTGTTGTGTCACACACTAACCACTTGTCAGTGTATCAGTATTGTGTCACACACTAACCACTTGTCAGTGTATCAGTATTGTGTCACACACTAACCACTTGTCAGTGTATCAGTATTGTGTCACACACTAACCACTTGTCAGTGTATCAGTACTGTGTCACACACTAACCACTTGTCAGTGTATCAGTGTTGTGTCACACACTAACCACTTGTCAGTGTATCAGTAGTGTGTCACACACTAACCACTTGTCAGTGTATCAGTATTGTGTCACACACTAACCACTTGTCAGTGTATCAGTGTGTCACACACTAACCACTTGTCAGTGTATCAGTATTATGACTGGCAGTACTAACACCTGGACCTACCTACCTAGTCTTATGAGTGCTGAGTATGAGTTACAGGTTTTTAAACGCAACTTGAATTTTGAAGTTAAGTAAAGAAGGTAGTGTAAGAGTTTTTACGATATTCTTGGTTAAATATGGGTCTGTAATTTTTTAGGGTTGTTAAATGTATTTTTTGGCAATTTTTAAAGATTTGTCAATAAAAAGCTTTTGAACATTTTAGATCATGTGCTATTTCATAAATTCTGATATCATCCATGTACTGCCTTAAGAATTACCTCTAAAAAATGGACGGCTGTGTCTATAAGCTTTCCTGTACAAAATGCAATAGATTTTATTTTGGGAAATTGCAGCCTCGTAAATACAGAATAAGAATTGGGCAAGTGTCTAATGCTCTGCTTTTTCATGTGAGTGATTTTAACCAAGTCATTCATTTTCAAAGATTGAGAAAGCAGTACCAAGTAAATCAATAGTTGAACGAAATAGAATAGAATTATAATTTACATATAAAAATAGTACTGATTACAATCTGAATGTAAGTCCACCATTGAACAAATTAGATTTATTTATATTAAATAAAATTTGTGGGGATTAAAAGCTATGATAAAATTCCCATTCCCCTAATATATAATTTTACCTGACATGTGACCTGATTAAAAGTTTCTCTCACGTTCCACGAGTGAAGTCATAAGTGAGGCCACATCTCTGTTTTATAAGTCTTCTGTTGTTTTATTGTTGTTACCGTTCCATGATAATGTGCAAATCACGACAACGTTTGCAACATTATTATTCTTCACTGTGGTCATACCGCATATTAAGCTGCCACCACTTCCCTGTGATTATATATATATATATATATATATATATATATATATATATATATATATATATATATATATATATATATATATATATATATATATATATATATATATAGGATGGGGTCCACCTCTGGGGTAAATTGTGGGACCCATAGCCTCGGAGAAGTGGATAAAAAGGCTTCAAGGAAGAATAATTGTATTTCTTCCTGAAGCCGTTTGAATATTCCACTTCCCCTATCACTCCATCTTTTCATTCTTTTTTACCAATAGATATATTTTATTACATAATATTGTACAAAACGTTTAAGAGATACATTGTTGATATAAAGATGGCATATACAGTACATGAGATGTGAGAGATACATGTCTAGTACATATTGTTAAGTGTTTGTCACTGATTATAATGCGAAAATCTCATCCAGCTCTTCAGAACTGGAGTGCGTGCCCAAAATACAGTAGGCATTACCCCTCTGAACAGCAGCAGTGCTGAGTCGCTAGAACAGAAAACTAGCTGCCCTATTATCCCTAGTTACCCTGATTAGTCTTTTGTCTAGCTCCTTAAGGAACTTAGATGCACTCTTTCCCCAGGAGCCAAGGGTCTCCGAGCCTATGGGAACAAACATATAATGATGGGCAAGTTCTCCATATTTTCTAGACTTTTGGGACTCCCTGAAGCTGGCGGATGCCCCTCCTTCCTCCCTGGTGTATTGGAGATAGGTATCAGCCAAGGTAAATGCACATGCATAGTCCCACACCACCTACTTACCGTCTGTCCAGGCTTGAAGTGTGATACCCTCTGGACGCTTCTGGCTGCCATCAGATTTGCATAGTTGGGGTGGCTCCCTTACTGCTGGGCATCCGGCTGTTGTGAGGCTCCTCTTGATAATGTTAACTTCCTCATGTCTTGCAATCTTTCCATCAGATTTACGGCACACAAGACCATGGTACCCGAATCGGTCTGCTGCTTCACTGCCACAAATACACCTATGTTTGGCGAGAATAGGGGCGGCAAGTCGAAGGGCAACACCAATGCGGATGGTCCGTGGGTCGAGAAGTGTGCCAAGGCTGGAGTTGGGAACAGCCAACATAAAGTCCCCTGTATGAGGCACTCTCACTGCCAGGAGGCAGGCTCTATCCTTCCCTGACACACTCTGAAGCATATTATATATATATATATATATATATATAATATATATATATATATATATATATATATATATATATATATATATATCTTTCTTTCAACACACCGGCCGTATCCCACTGAGGCGGGGTGGCCCAAAAGGAAAAACGAAAGTTTCTCCTTTTACATTTAGAAATATATACAGGAGAAGGGGTTACTAGCCCCTTGCTCCCGGCATTTTAGTTGCCTCTTACAACACACATGGCTTACGGAGGAAGAATTCTGTTCCACTTCCCCATGGAGGTAAGAGGAAATAAACAAGAACAAGACCTAGAAAGAAAACAGAAGAAAACCCAAAGGGGTGTGTATATATATATGCTTGTACATGTATGTGTAGTGTGACCTAAGTGTAGTGTAAGTAGAAGTAGCAAGACGTACCTGAAACCTTGCATGTTTATGAGACAGAAAAAAAGACACCAGCAATCCTACCATCGTGTAAAACAATTACAGGCTTCAGTTTTACACTCACTTGGCAGGACGGTAGTACTCCCCACGGGGGGGTAGAAATTGACGGCTGTGTCTGTCGTGTCGAATAGGTAAAACTTGCGATTTTGTCCTAAATAGCAATGATCTTCTTGCCGAATAAGGCAAGGGAAAATTTGTGTATGCAATAATTTCGCAAAAAATCATTCTGAACCTAACGAAAACAAATATTTCATTGTGTTTATTAAATTATTGTAAATTTACCTAAAATATATTTAGTTGGATTAGGCTAAACTAAATTGCGCTTGTTATAATATGGTTAGGTAACTTTTCTAAGGTTCTTTTGGTACAAAAGTATTATTTTTTTACATTAACATCAATCTTGTAGATTGACTGACTGAACCTATCGACTCCAGGCTGAGTCGATGTGTGCCTCCTCTCCTTATACCTTCCTGCTTTGTATAGACTGATGAAGCCACTGTGTGGCGAAACGTTTCTTCAATAAAGATTCCCATATGTTGCCAAAGTGTCTCAATTCTTCAACTTGTCGGTTTTCAAAACCATTCATCACACATGTGTGATGTTACCATGGTTGTTCAATATATTTATCGATGGGGTTGTAAGGAAAGTGCTTGGGTGTTGGCAAGAGGTTTGGGGTTAAAAGATAAAGGAGCTTAACATAAAGTGGGAGTTGTCACAGTTGCTCTTTGCTGATGACGCTGTGCTTTTGGGAGATTCTTATGAGAAGTTGCAGAGGTTGGTGGATGAGTTTGAAAAGTGAATATAGGAAAGAGTAAGATGATGAGGATAACAAAAATATTAGGTAATGAAAGACTGGATATCAGGTTGGAGGGAGAGAGTATAGAGGATATGAATGTATTCAGATATTTAGGAGTGGACGTGTCAGCAGATGGGTCTATGAAAGATGTGAATCATAGAATTGACCGAAGGGAAAAAGGTGAGTGGTGCACTGAGGAGTCTGTGGAGAGAAACAACTTTGTCCATGGAAGCAAAGAAGGGAATGTATGAGAGTATAGTTATACCAACACTCTTATATGGGTGCGAAGTATGGATGGTGAATGTTACAAGGAGAATGCAGGAGGCAGTGGAGATATCATCTCTGAGGGCAATGTGTGGTGTTTAATATAATGCAGAGAATTCGTAGTTTGGAAATTAAAAGGGGTGGGATTACCAAAACTTTTACTGAAAGGGCTGAGAAGGGGTTGTTGAGGTGGTTCAGACATGTAGAGAGGCTGGAACAAAATAGAATGACTTCGAGTGTATAAATCTGTAGTGGAGGTAAGGCGGGGTAGAGGTCAGCCTAGGAAAGGTTGGAGGGAGGGGATAAAGGTTGTGTGCGAGGGGCTTGGACTTCCAGCAAGCAAACATGAGCGTGTTAGGAGCGAATGGAGACAAATAGGTTTTAGGACTTGACGTGCTGTTGGAGTGTGAGCAGGGTAATATTTTTGAAGGGATTCAAGGAAACCGGCAGGCTGGACTTGTGTCCTAGAGATGGGAAGTACAGTGCCTACACTCTGCAGTTTTATAACTGTACTGTAGGCACGCCTCTGGCAGGACAGTGATGGAGTGAATGATGGTGAAAGTTTTTCTTTTTCGGGCCACCCTGCCTTGGTGGGAAACGGCCGATGTATTACTAAAATAAATAAATTAATAATAATAATGATATTATATATATATATATATATATATATATATATATATATATATATATATATATATATATATATATATATATATATATAATTGTGTGTGTGTGTAATAAGCCGAGCTTGCCGAATAGGCCGAAACCCTTAAAGAAACTGACTTAAAAAAAAAAACAGGTTGATAGATATGTTTTTTCATTGACAATATAAAAAAAATTCTTGAAAAAATCGTAACTTAGGAACCTCACGTAACCTAACTTAAACTAGCGCTTAATAGGCAGAACAGGCCGAACTCCTTAAAAATTTTACTTTTCCAAATAAAAATTACAGATTGATACATACATTTTTTTCATTAACAACGATGTAAAAGTTTTTTTTTTTTAATAAACCTAATTTAGACTCCTCACCTAATTTTTTAAAGCCAAATTCTACTAAAATATCACACATCAGTTTAAATTTATTTAATATTAGTTAAAGCCAATGATATATATTTTTTCGTTACGTCAAAATTGATATTCGTATATTTATTCGGCACAAAACACCTTTGCTTTTTTTCAGGCCTAACTTGCAGGTATGGTCTATTCCACACACACACACACACACACACACACACACACACACACACACACACACACACACAAACCCTGCCAAATGCAAAGTCAAAGACTGGGGAAGGGCAAAGAAGGCCGCAGACAAAGTATAGGCTAGGTGGACGAAGACTGCAAACCTCACTCAAGGAGAACCATAACACCGAACACGTCTCCGGAGGCACAAATCAACCAGATAACTGCTGCAGCATATGGAAGCCTGGCAAACCTGAGAATAGCGTTCCGATACCTTACTAAGGAATTGTTCAAGACACTGTACACTGTGTAAGTCAGGCCCATACTGGAGTATGCAGCACCAGTTTGGAACCCACACCTGCTCAAGCACGTCAAGAAATTAGAGAAATTACAAGGGTTTGCAACAAGGCTAGTTCCGGAGCTCTGGGGAATGTCCTACGAAGAAAGGTTGAGGGAAATAGGACTGACGACACTGGAGGACAGGAGGATCAGGGGAGACATGATAACAAAATACAAAATAATGCGTGGAATAGACAAGGTGGACACAGACAGGATGTTCCATAGAGGGGACACAGAAACAAGGGGTCACAATTGGAAGCTGAAGACTCAGACGAGTCACAGGGATGTTAGGAAGTACTTCTTCAGTCACAGAGTCGTCAGGAAGTGGAACAGCCTAGCAAGTGATGTAGTGGAGGCAGGAACCATACACAGCTTTAAGACGAGTTATGACAAAGCTCAGGAAGCATAGAGAGGACCTAGTAGTGATCAGTGAAGAGGCGGGGCCAGGAGCTAGGACTCGACCCCTGCAACCACAAATAGGTGAGTACACACACACACACACACACACACACACACACACACACACACAGGGAGGAAAGAGGCCGTCTTTACCTACCTTCGATATAACTCAGCCAAGTTTGTCTGGTGCTTGCCTGGTCGACCGGGGTGTTGCTTCTGGCGGCCTGCTGGCCCACATATTAACCACAGCCTGGTTGATCTGCCACTTTCACACCTGGAGTCTGGTGAGATGTTAAAGGTCTTGGACCACAGATGTTGATTCATTGTTCTCTTATTGTGCCCATGGTACCCCTGTCTCTCACTGGGTTTATTTTACATATTCGCTCATCTCTCTCATTCTGGTATATTGTTGTGGCAGTGTGCAGATTTGGTACCAGACCCTCAAGCATCTTCCGCATATATATTATTACTGTATTATCTGGCATGTAAGGTGTACGAGCATATAAGAACATGTTTCCAAGCAGCTGTAACGTTAGTAAACGGCTTCTAAAATGTAACCCAAAATCTACCCTTGACCCTGATCATATAAGGCGCAGTGTGATTTTTCCAAGACTTTTTGTGGAAAAAAAAAAAAAGCACGGCGTATATGCCGGAAAATACAGTATGTATCTCTTTACCTTCTGCTCCATGGACTCAAGGGCGGTCTCAGCAATTTAAATGCTCTATGGGGTCTATGCGGGCTACAAGAATGGCGCAGGTTGGTGGTCCTGTGGTTTAAAGCGCTGTGGTTCTCGCTTACCATGAGGCAGGCCAGTACAACATGGGTTCGAATCCTTGGCTAGAGCAGTGTTGTTATTGATCAATACCACTCGTTCGTGGTAAAACTTGCGATATTGGCTTAAATAGCAACGCTCTTCTTGCTGAATAAGGTAAACTAAAATTTGTGTATGCAATAATTTCGCAAAAATCACTCTGAACCTAACGAAAAAATATATTTCATTTTAAACCATACCACGGGCGGGATTTGAACCCGGGTTCAAATCCCGCCCGTGGTATGGTTTGTTTGCAATCGTGTCATCACGATTTCGTGAGTCATATTTCATTTTGTTTATTATTAAATTATTGTAAACTTATATAAAATATATTTAGTTGGTTTAGGCTAAATTAAATTGCGCTTGTTATAATAAGGTTAGGTAAGTTTTCTGAGGTTCTTTTGGTACAAAATTATTAATTTTTACATTAACATAAATGAAAAAAATATATCTTTAAACGTATAAGTGAAAATTTTAGAATGGTCGTAATTTTAAATGAGTTTTTGCTAATTGACCAGTTTTACCTGTTCGGCAGGAGAGAGAGAGACGCGCACACGCGCGCGCGCGCGTGCACACACACACACACACACACACACACACACACACACACACACACATGTATATGCGTACGCACGTACGCATATACAACAGGCCTAGTTTCTAATCGACATGTGCCTACGACAAAATGGTAATTAACACA